CTATAAGTTCGCAAGGTAAATATGGTGGTGACATAGCAACAGTTTTGTTTCCACTGCATATGTGGTAATCTAATGCAATTCAGAGTGTGTAAAAATGAAAAATCGTTCTATAAATTAGAGTATAGAACTTAATTGACATTGACATATTGACAAATTAGATGAGAAGAAGATTTTTAATCCTGAAGTTGCATGCCACTTTCCTCCTTTGCTGCTCACTTTCAAGCTACAATGTTTCTTGAAAGATTTAGCTTTTGCATAACCCCAAAGATTTAGCTTTTCATGTTTGCCGATATTTAATTTATTCTTACCATAAACTCTCCTCAATAAGCCAACCCAAATTGTAAGCCTCCTAAAAGTTTGGGATTATCAATTTGGCTACAGATGTGTATATATTGGTTTCATCATATCTTACCCCGTGCATTTCTCTAGAAAAAGGTAACAAATACTATAAATGTGTGCTATGGCAGATTTTCATTGAAGACATAAAGGAATAAACAATTTTAAGAAAGAATCACACCTTGATTCCTGCCCACCAATCAATAAGCCATATGGGTTCCAACCAGAGCAACTCTGCAACTACTTTGTTGATCTTTCTATACAACTTCTTTGATATAGGACGAAGAAGGATGAAAGAAACTACCTGAAAGTGCGTATATGAATAAACTCACGATATGTGCACTAAGTTAACCAAAACTAGAAAACTTGGGCAAGAAATGCTTTATGAAGGTAATTGAGAGATTTGATAACATTCATTAGATGATAAAGAAAACCAGTGGCAGGTCCATTCTAATGTCGTAGCTTTACTAGAGAGAAAAATGGATTCCAAGTTTTGGCATGCAAGTCCAGTTGTATGGAGAGTTGATGCATGTTTTTGTAAGGAAGATATGTAATGTAAGTAAATGAGGAGTGTTAAGGCACATACACCATGTTCTAATATAACAATTGGTTAAAAGACAAAGGTTTAGAGCATATAAGTAAATGGCATATTTCTTATTAACCATTTGATACTCATCCAAGAACTTAGAACATGGTATATGTCTCTTATTAAATTACTTAACAGTATGTCCTTGAACATTCTTGTATGTGCAATATGGTGTCAAGGTTTGGTAGCGATATATGGAACAAGGATGCCATTTATTGAGCCAAAATTTATGTCATTCATCTTGGGAGTAAGCACCTATTAAAGGCATTACTTTACTGATGATTCAATTTTGCAGCTCTTCCCTGTTTCTCCCTTCAATTAAAACATTGTTAACAACTAATGAGGAGTCCTCTAAATATAACGTTGTACCGTTGTTTTTCGAAATTTACTATTATGATTACATTACTCGAAGAAACAGAGGCATTGCAGTAAACCATGGCCCAAATTGTAGTCGATTTTTGAGACCGGCACCAATAAATCAGCATTGCTAATTTCCCTGCCTATAAGTTGTTATAAATTGTTAAGAAACCACTCTAAAGAATAGGTTAGAAAAATCTCTACTTGCTGTTTAAAATGCAATTGGGTCATTCAATTTACATGCAACAATCAAAATCACCGTCAGGAAAAGAGGCACATAACGACATAGCAAAGGGCCACAATTGGTAATAATATCAAATGGGATTTCTTCCGAAACACCAAATTGCAAAAATGGAAGCAAAAGGCATTGAGAGAGAGAGAGAGAGAGAGACAGAGAGACAGAGAGAGACAGAGAGAGAGAGAGAGATTAATCATTAATGCCAGACATACCTGCATGAGATTAACAATGAGGCCTGAGAGAATGAAAAGAACGCCAATGGGAACGATGGCGAGTACAGCTGGGATGGCCATGGCTGCTAATGCTATTCTGGCTTTGGGTTTAGAGAGGAAGAGGAGACAGAGATTCGATGGGAGACAGAGAGCGTTTGGGGATCATAACGAACGAACACTGTCTGCGTGCGTGTGTTTGTTTTGCTGAGACGCGAACTGGAAGCCGCTTCAAACGCTTGAAGTCGTTACAAAATTTTATTATTCTTCAACATTTACATGAAGCGCTATCATGTGATTTGTCGTGTGGTGTGGGCTACTGAATAAGTTCATTAGGGAATTTTTTTTTTTACAATGCAAATATGTTTGTAGCCATCAGATTGACAGATTTATTTATACTAAATTATAAAGAGATTTTCTATTTAAACCCCACACTTCTCTTAGTTCACCCCAACTTTTAATTTAAAATTTCACAATTTCTAAGAAAACTTCACTATCTTCCCAAACTACCCTTAAATACACCCCAATCTGAAAAAATAAGAAAGAAAAAAAAATTTCTATTTAAACCCCACAAGCTACCCTTAGAGGAGGAATGTATACAGCTTTGGGGAGATCATGCTGGAAATTTTAAGCAATGGCAGGTTGATGAATTCAGGAGCAAGCATACATAGTAAGTCAAGGGAAGTTGTTATGAGAGAAATTTACAATGAGAATGAAGTTGGTACGAACGTTCCGATGCGAGAGGAGATAAAACTGGTACTTGAGGTGCTACACTTTGCACTAGGAGTAGGCCATCTAATCGGCCATCAATGGAGACATTGAAGCTTTTATCAGAGTGGAAAAGAAACAAGAAAAATTACCCAACTATTGAAGTTGCAGCAATAGGATTATGATTTTAGATGCACATTGGAATGCCAGAAGTTATAATAATATTACTGTTCCTAGCAAAAAAAAAACACAAACAAACCCAAATATGAAATTTAATATTTTCTAGAGAAAGAGAACAGCTTTACCAAAACATTAGGTATTTTAAAAAAAAACAAAAACAAAAAAACAAAAAAACAAAAGCAATCAACAAAGGGAAGAGAATAAGATCATTACAATCAAACAATTAACAAGTCTTTCCATTAGCTCCCATGTAGATTTTAAAGAGACATGATCTTCAATGTTCTACGTCTCTGGCAATATGATGTAGAAGAGTTTGTATTTTTCTAAAACTTAATATGAAGAGTGGTGGGATGTATGGGGTGTTTGTATAGATGTACTAGGGTTAATTATTAAATTGGATGACCTTTTTTGTCTTTTTACACAATAATAAAACTTACAACTTAATGATTTAAGTATTGGGGTGAACAAAAAGAAGTGTGGGGTTTAAATAGAAAATCTCATTATAAATTAGTCATGATTTATTGGAATTTCTTCCCAAGATTTTGTACTAAGACGCACCTTCTCATTACAAAGTGTAAATTTGAAGTATGCCCAATTAACGTCGTCTTTTGCTTAGAGTTACAATCTGCAACTTCAGAAAAATAAGGATGATTTTGAAAATTAATTTTCACTTTAAAAAAAAATTGATATTTGACATAGTTATCAAACGTTCTTAAGAAAGCCTCAATTTTGTTTCAAAACACCAAATTTGAGATTACTTACCCCAAACTTAAATCAAACATTGTCCCTAATATTCAAAATTAAATAGCATGTAACTTTCTTAAAAGTAAGAAGGGAAAAGTGGGAAAGATATTACCATGATGAAGATGGATGGTAAGAATCCTTGCCAAAAATAAAATAAAATAAAATAATCAACCAAGCAAATAGTCAACGACATAGTTCAGTTCAGTGAAAAAGAGCTTTAACTTGCTAATAAGTGGTGTCAAATTCGAATCCCTATGACACCTTGATACTATGTAAAGGTGTCAAACGGATCATACTGGCCTGGCCTGTTAAGAATCGGCAAATTTAATAAACGAGTTGTGTTGGGCTCGTTCATTTATGAAAATCATCAATCACGCCCGAGCCCATATGGGATATGGGCCCACGCCTATGCATTGCTTTTTCTCTTTTTTTTTTTGTAATTCCTTTTACAACTTCATTTAAATATTTTTTACAATTATGCATATAACAATAGATTTATTATTTGTTGGAAAAAGAAGCCAATAACTTTATTAAAGTACATTTAAATAGAAAATGATTAGTTTATTTGGGTTTTAAAAATTGAAACTTGAAAAAAAAAAATCTTGATTTTATATATAAAGAAAACATTAAACATTAAATTTTAATATATATTATTAGTGAAAAGAAATAGATTTCAATTTAAGATATAAATATAATAATATTATGTATTATTTTTCTCTAAAATGAATATAATTTAATAAATGAACTTTAAATGGGCCGACTCATTGGGCTTTAGGCCAGCCCGGCTCATTACACATTATCTTGTCCCAGCCCGTCCAAAGATACGGACTGTGTCGTGTCAGACCTTACTTAATCGGGCCATGCTCAGATCGGCCTTATCCATATGACACCACTAACAGTATGGGTGAGAATCCCTTCTCTACTTCCTAAGTTTGGCCAAAAAGAAGATAAAACCCAAGAAAATAGAAGTATAGAATAATCTAGTGTTGTGAAATTATTGCAAGCGCACAATCTACACAAGTAATATAGAAATAAGTAGAGTGTCGTTCCCACGAAGACTGTAATTTCCTTTTAATTACCCATTATGATTAATGCAGAAGTTTATTTGAACAGTTAATTATGAAGATTGATTGATTTAATTAAACTAAAACAGTTATAAAAAATAACAATTTAATTAACGATGGAAAAACAAGTTTGATGAGACACTTGAGCATCCTATTTCACCATAACCCATTCCACTTAATTCTTATAGCCAATTAACCCTAATTACTATCCATGTTGACAGTTGGTTTCTCCTAATTCATTCGATATCCTCTCTTGGGCTCAACCAAAAGTATTCTTAATTAACAACTCATTCTCTCTCGAGCAACGAATTTAGAAAACCAAGAATCCATTAAGTTCTATGAAAACCTACCAGAAAACTGTATGAGTCATGTTAGTCCCTCTCGGGCACTCATTCAAGTCATGGTACTTGTTACAAGAAGTAAACACCAAATATCCCCTCTCAGTCTCCACTTGGATCATCAATTAAATATTAGCTAGATATTTAAATCATTAAGAAAAGTAACAAATACTCAACATGGGATAATAATCAGAAATTAATAAAACTATAAAAATTAAGTGTTCATGATTAGTCTACATTGTAGCCCTAGCAAGGGAAATTAGTTCATGACAGAAGAAAATATAAACAATAGAATTATTGTCATAAAATCGATTTGGCCGATGGACTTATTTTCAGAATCTCCACAGGAATATCTTCGAAAGCTCCCCAAGTAATGCAGCAGCAAATTCTTGGCTCTCTCTGATATTTCTTTGGGTGTATAAAAGTTATATATGGGAAGATATGGTGGAAAAGATGATGGTCCTATTAGGTTAAAGCTTTGTATTTATAGGCCAAGGGATTTCTCCAAGAATAAGTTATTTAGGAAGGATTTGAGTAATAGAGAAAAAATAGGAAAATGTAAGAAAACCCAATCCCAAAAGGAGAAAGAAATATGCGGATGTGCTTGGAAATAAAATCTCCAAGTCAAAGAAGGAAATCTCATATTGGG